GCGGTGATACAAGCACTCATTGAGACACGGAAGGATGAGCAAAGTGCCTCTAGGGGACCTAGTTTGTGAGAGGAGACTATAATTTGGCTCATTAAATGCAGAACAGGGAGTGCACAGGGTGCTGTGGTCATTTGGAGGACATCGGACCCAAATGGGAGTGAGGATGGCTTCCTGTAGGAAATGATTAATATTCTGATATGTTTAAAAATTGGTGGGAGTTCGTGAAGGACAGTAGTAGAAAAAACTCTAGAGGGAACAACATACGTAAAAGCCCTGAGGTAAAACAGCAGATCTGATTTGAGAAACTAAAAATGTTAATAAGGCTAGAGCACAGTGTGGGAAAGAGAGGCAAATGATGGGAATGGAAGCTCTGCTTTTGAAGCTCTGACAGATCCTATTAAAGAGCTTTTAGTTTTAAAGGATGAGTGAAGTGGCTTCATCAGGATCGGTACCAAGTCAGAATAGCCCATTTGGAACCCTTGGTGCGTGGACTGAAAAGGACAAGAAAGAGGTGAAAGAAAAGTCTATTGTAGATTTTAAGTTGTTGTTAGTTGCCATGGAATCGACTATAACTCAAAAGGACCCTATGAACAACAGATCTGAACCTTGCCCTGGCCTACACAATCCTCAGATCTCTGCCATGCTCAAGCCCAATGTAGTCTCTCTGTCAAACCATCTTTTTGAGGGTCATCTCTGACCCTCCATTTTTCCCAGCTTGATGTCTTTTTCCAAAGACTGGCCCCTCTTGACACCATCCCCAAATTACGTGAGACCAAGTTTCACCATCCATGCCTCTAAAGAGCACTCTGGTTACACGTCTCCAAAACAGATTTATTGGTTCTTTTGGCATTCCATGGCATCTTCGATACACTTCTCCAACACCACAATTCAAAGGCACCAATTCTTCTGTCCAACTTTCAGACTAATTGTTGTTGTGTACTGTAGAGCTGGAACTGACCCACAGCTGACCTTCTGGGGGTTTTTAGAGGCAGATAGTTGCACTGGGAGGAGGGATTGTAGCACAGCTTCTTGCCACTAGGTCACCAGAGCTCCCTTTTTATATGCATAGGAAGCTGTTGAAAATGCCATCATTTGGATCAGGCACACCTTAGTCTTTAAACTGACATCCTTGCTCTTTTGCACTTTAAAGATGTTCTTGAGCAGATGTCCCCAATACAACATGTATTTTGATTTCTTGACTATTGTTACCTTGAGTGTTGATCATGGGTCAAAGTAAATTATTTGTAACTACAGTCATCTATCATCATGTTGCTTATTGGTCCCGTCGGAAGATTTTTATATTCTTCATGTTGAGATATAACTCATAGTGAAGTCTTTGATCATCTGCAATAACTGCTTCAAGTCTTCTTCATTTTCTGCAATTAAGGTTGTGTCATTTGCTTAATGCAGATTGTATGAGTCTTCCTCCAATCTTTAAGCTATATTCTTCTTCATATAGTCCAGCTTCTCCAACAATTTGTTTAGCATATAGATTGTATAAGTGAGGATACAATCCTGATGCACACTTTTCCTGATTATAAACTATGGAGTTTTCACTTATTCTGTTCAGACAACTGCTTCTTGGTCTATGTATAGGTTTCACATGAGCACAATAAAGTATTTGGAGATTTCCGTTCCTCTCAATGTTATCTATATTTTATGTTCCACACAGTCAAATGCCTTTATATAATCAATGAAACACAAGTAAACCTCTTCCTGGTATTTTCTTCTTTTAGCCAAAATCCATCTGACATTGGCAGCGATATCCCTAGTTCCATGGTCTGTTCTGAATCCAGCTCGAAATTTCTGTCAGTTCCCTGTCAATGTACTATTCCAGCCATTTTTAAATCTTCAGCAAGATTTTGTTTGCATCTGATATTAATATTATTTGATAATTTTCACATTCTGTTGGATTACATTTTTTTAAAAAATGGAAACAAATATGGATCCCTCCTTTTTTTATTATTATTATTATTTTTGTGTGAGTGTACCGTCAAATCAGATCTGACTGGTACAGGAGGAGATTGTCTCTCCTTCCTCGGCAGAGCATCTGGTGGATTTGAACCGTGTGCCTCTGGGATTGTAGTTGCAGCTCCTTACCACTAAGGCCACCAGAGCTCCCCTAAGATCCCTCCTTTTTTTAATTTTTCTTTAATCTCTTCTAATGAGTTGGCAAGGTAGTTTCCAGCAAATTTGTCAGTGAACAAGTCCAGGGTTCCATCTGTTTCCTGAAATATCTCAATTGGTATTCCATCAGTTTCTTTTAGGGTGAGTGGTAATAATATAGTCATTTAATCCTCACAACAACTCTATAAAGAGTCTCAGGGAAATCAGTTATCTGTCACAATCTAGGAAGAGGCAATCACAACTTGCAACCAGAGTTCACACACTTATCCAAACACTCTTAACGCAGAGGGGTAAATTTTAGTTAACAGGCAGAGGTGAGCTCTCAGGATCTGACACTGGGGAAAGGGAAGAGAAGGGAGGTGGCTGGTGACAAGCCTAGCTCTTACCATTCCACAGGAAAGCGGGAACAATGAGATCATCTTCATGGCCTTGGACTTGGCCAGTCTGACCTCTGTTCGAGCTTTTGCCACCGCCTTCTTGCGCTCCGAGCCCCGGCTGGACATCCTTATCCACAATGCTGGTGAGGCACAACAAGCTCTACAGGGGGGCGGGAGGAGCCAGGGGCCAGAGTTCTCCTGGGGAGGATGCCCTCTACTCCCATCTTACAGACGGGAACCCTGAGGCCTGCAGGGCTCCCTTCGGAACAGCTTCTCATGCCTAGCCCCTGCCCCAGGGATCAGTTCCTGTGGCCGGACACGTGAGCCCTTTAACCTGCTGCTGCGGGTGAACCACATCGGCCCCTTCCTGCTGACACAGCTGCTGTTGGCCCAGCTGAAAGCATGTGCCCCCAGCCGTGTGGTGGTGGTATCCTCAGCTGCCCACCGGCGTGGGCACCTCGACTTCACTCGCCTGAACCTTCCTGTGGTTGGCTGGCAGCAAGAGCTCCGGGCATATGCTGACAGTAAGCTGGCCAATGTGTTGTTTGTCCGAGAACTTGCCACCCAGCTTGAAGGCACTGGGATCACCTGCTATGCGGCCCACCCAGGTGAGGCCCAGATCCTTGGTTGCTTTGGGTTTTCCCTCTCCCATCCTTATTCTGTCCCTTACTCCCCCAGCCTCCCACTGAGCCACCAAATCTCAAAATAGGAAGGAAGCAAGTCCCACAGGGAGATTTGTCCTTCTACTGATCTTGGAACTAGGTCCTCCTAGTACAGCTTTTTCCTCTCACCCCACAAGCTGGATGCTGACCCCCCCTGGTGGGATATGGTAATAATAAGAGTCAAGCCTTTGTCCCTGTAGAGCCATCTGTACTGACTGAGCTGACATGGATGAGGATAGCTAACTAGCATTAACTCACGGAAGAAGCATTTACTGAGCACCTGCTAGGTACCAGGCATTGTGTTCAGTGCTGAGGACATAGCAATGGATAATACCAAGACTCTATCCTCAAAGAGAGAACTCTGGTGGAGAATAAAAAGAGATGGTCAGAGATGAACTGGTTCACCCAGGGTTCCTTATAAACACTTTGACTTTTTCTGAGTGAAACAGAACTAAATAAATAAGACCTCTCTACCTTCAGGGAGGAGGTCTGGTGGCTCTGAGGTTAAGTCTATTCACTGAAAAGGTGGGTGATTCAAACATACCGGCTATTCCCAGGGAGGAGGCAGTCTGCTTCTGTAAAGATTTACAGCCTTGGGAACCTTATGGGGGAATTTTATTCTGCCCTACTGGGTCACTAGGAGTCAGAATAGCTCAATGACAGTAGTGATTTTGGCCTTTCAAGGAATAGCCAATAAGGACTTCACTACCTATATTGCCATTCTGCATGGTAGGTTGTCAATGCCTAAGGCTTGTTAATAATCTCATCATTTTAATAAAGCCAAACACACCCAAACTTGCAGCCTTAAATTCTGTCTCAGTAATCCTGTAGATATGCTCTCTAGTGTTTCTAAGGTTGCAAATCTTTATGGAAACAGACTGCTACATCTTTGTCTCTTGGAAGCTCCGATGCATTTGAACCACCAACTTTTGGGTTAGCAGTTGAGTTCTTTAGCTCTTTGACCCTTGTGCCACCAGGGCTTCTAATGATAGTCACAGCTAACTCTTATTAAGTCTTTGTTATACTCTATAACTCTAGTGTTCAAAACAAGGGCTGGAAAAAAAACCCAAAAAACAAAACAGTGGCTGGTACATCATAGGTGCTTAATAAATGTTTGCTGGCCAAACAAAAGAGCTAGAAGATAAAGATAAGAGAAGAATTGTTTCCAGCAGGAACATGGGACAGGCAGCAAAGGCTGGAAGTTATAGATATCGTTAATAGCTTGGATAGAGGGGAGTTGGTTTCCTGTAGGAAAGAATGAGTGAATTTTGTGGGAGCCCTCGATGCCTGGTGCATACAACCTTGGCTTCTCTGGAACCAGGCTCTGTCTCCCACTTCCTTTCTGTCCCTGTTTCCACTGCCCATTCCCTGGATCTCCACCCACCTTCCTCCCTATACCTTCCTTTCTTCCTGTCCCCAGGGCCTGTGAACTCAGAGCTGTTCCTGCGCCATGTTCCTGGATGGTTGCACCCACTTTTAAGACCTCTGGCCTGGCTGGTGCTGCGGGCGCCAAGAGGGGGTGCCCAGACACCTCTATACTGTGCTCTACAGGAGGGCATTGAACCCCTCAGTGGGAGATACTTTGCCAACTGCCGAGTGGAGGAGGTGCCCCCAGCCGCCCGAGATGACCGGGCAGCCCACCGGCTGTGGGAAGTCAGCAAGAGACTGGCAGGGCTAGGACATGGAGAGGAAGATGAACCTGATGAAGATCCCCAGCTTGAGCACCCACAGGCCCCATCTTCTCTGAGCAGTCCCCATCCTGAAAAGCCCACAGTTTCTGAACCCTGTCCTGGTCCACAGAGCTCACTGGATTTGCCTAAAGTCATGTGCCGAAGTCAGAGTAAAGCTGAGCCTATAACCCCAGCCTTCTAACCCCAGGCTAGGGACGTTCCTGCGGCGCTTTAGGGCCCCTGGAAACTCTGCTTGACCAGGCCCTGGACACTGAAGAGAGTGTGTGTTTTACTTCCATGGTTACTTTCTCAAGATGTGTCCTGGAAAGTTCTTTTCCCAATGGAATGAAATAGTAAGTTATTATTCCCCACCTCTAGGGTTATTAAAAGAGCATAGTGCATTACACATTGGTCTGCTAATGGAACAGTAATCAGTGGTTCAAAACCACTAGCTACTCCACAGGAGAAAGATAAGGGTCTCCTTCCATAAAGAAACCTGGCAGAGGGTTACCCTGAGTGGGAATCAGTTTGGTTTGAGGATTATTCTCACCACCACATCACCCAGCTCCAGGTGACAAGGACCCCAGATTGAGTGCTCAGGTAGGATGCCAGACACTGCTTCTTGAGAATTTGAATCTCAGATCTTCCAGCTCCACCTTCATCAATTCTGACCAGCTCCAGATTATAAAACAAATAAACCCATTGCTTTTGAGTCAATTCCAGCTTATAGTGATCCTGTCAAACAGAGTAGCTGGCACCACTCCCTTGTTTCCAAGGCTATACTCTTTATCACAGCAAACCACAACATCTTCCTCCCCTGGATCTGCTTGTGAGTTTAAATTACGGACCCTTCTACTAGCAGGCATGCACTTAACCATTGCATCATCCAGGCTCCAGATTGAAATTAAACCAAAACCCAACCATTTCAACTCAGTGATCCTACAGGACAGGAGAACTGCCCCGTAAATTTTCCGAGGCTATAAATCTTTATGGGAGTAGACTGCCACAATCTTTCTTTCCTGCAGCTGAGTTCCTTAACCACTGCACCACCAGGGCTCCAAATTGCCAAATAGAACTGCGCTATGGCATTTTCAAGGCTGTGATCTTTATGGAAACAGACTGCCACATCTTTCTTCTGCCGACCTTTTTGGTTAGCAGTCCAGTGTTTAAGCACTATGCCACCAGGGCTCCATGGCTCCAGATTAGTCACTGAAGAAACCTGTCATTTGCTATACTACTGCCAGTGTTGAGACTTACTGAACTGAGCCCTTTGCAACCATCCAGATAGCTAGTTACAATTCCTCCCCATTTGACAGACTGAAGATTAGGTTCCAAAGGGCTCAGTCGGAGCAGGGGATTTGAACCAATCACTCACTCCAAGGCTGAGACTATTAGGTCAGTGCTGGGAGTTAAGTCTGGGCGGGGCTTTTGTCCTCGAGGACCCCGATGCGGTAAGGAGACGTCTCCCGAGTGTCTGACAGAGCCCCCGCGATCTGGAAGCCCCGGAATAAAGCGTGTAGACTCCCGGGCTCGCGCTTCCCTGCCACACTCCTCGCGCCGGCCCCGCCCTCCGCCGCCACACTTCCGGCGGGGCCGCGAGCTCAGAGGGGCGCGGGAGGGCCGGGCCGGCGCGGCGCTGGGGGTGGCGGGATAGGAGTGCTGGGCGCGGCCGCGGTGCGGTGTGTGAACTCGCTGCTGCTGTCCAGCTCGCTGCGGTTCCCACGGGCCCTCCGTCCCGCCGGCGCCATGGGCAATTGCCACACGGTGGGGCCCAACGAGGCACTGGTGGTGTCAGGTGAGGAGGCAGCGGCGGAGGTGGGTTTTTTGGAGTGGGGACTGTGCCCGTGCGTTCGGGTTGAGAAGGGGTCGAGGAGTGGGGCGCAGGGCTGGAGAGAGAACGGGCAGAGGGAAGGCCAGGAGAGGAGCTTCGAGGGTGGAGGGCTGTGACAGAAGTCGGGGTGGGCGCGATGGGAGCTCACCATGGGCCACACCTCAGAGGCCCTTTCCCAGAAGAGACCCCCATTTTCCACTCCCATGCTCGCGCCCTCGGACACCCCTCAGAGTCTGCCCCTCCCACTGAGTGTTTTCCCTTGTTTATTCGCTTTCCACCCCCACCCCCCGCTTCTGCCCTAAACAGGGCGTTCCCTCCGCTCCACCGTGAGCTTTGGGGTCCGGAACTGAGATAGTGGGGAATCAGGAGGGAGGGACCAGTGGTTCCCCAACCCTATAAAATGGTTTGGCTAGATTCCTGTCCCGGGGACTCCAGTGGGTCGCGTGGCTCTCCTCTGGTATCGAGGAGGGGCCTTGAGACGCGGCTGTTTCTTGGGGCACACTCCCGTTAATTCCCAGCAGGCTGGGGCTTGCTGTGGTTTACTGGCAGCGCCTGCCCCGGAATGCGCATGCGGCCTCTACAGGTTGGGAAATAGGGCCCAGGGCTGGGTTGCTAAAGCCTGCAGAATTTCTTTGGGGCAATTTTAGGGTTGCAGAGAAGACTTGCCTTAAGCTGCTGTTTAGATTGTATATTTGCATAGGAGGGGCCAAAGCCCCTGAAGCCACCTGTTTGTGCAGCCTCAGGCTCACATGTGCTGAGGAGGGGGCGGTGTTGCCTGACAGCTTGGAGGGCTGGAGCTGCAGGGATCTCTCCTGTCTTACTTCCCACTAGCAAACCAGATTTTCCTTCTGTGTGCAGAGTTGTCAGGACTCCTTAGCTACTGAAGTGGGTAGAAGAGGGAGGAGCTAGGTCAGGGCTTGTAGCTGCCCACCCTTGAGGAGGTATGATAACCCATAGAGAATTTAGCTTTAGATTTAAGAATTAATCTCTGCTGTGATAGAAAGATTCCACTACCCAGCCCTTCCCCAGTCATGATCCTGCTCTTGTTGAGGAGAAAGATACTCCACTCCCCTGAAGATCAGAGACACCCTGAGGGTCAGGAGGGAGCACACCATGGCTCACTTCCAAGATTATGAGCCTGCCTCCCACCCTCCATCCCTGGAGAAAGCCCAAGTAACACATTTCGGTTTTTTCTCTGAATGTCCAGAAGCTCAGACTCTGAGGGGACAAAGCTCTAATTCTGTCTCTGTGGAAATTCCTGTGATAAAAGAATGAGAAAACAAACAAACAAAAACCCCAGTTACTGCCATCAAGTTGAAACCAACCCATATATCTGACCCTCCAGGGAGTTTTCAGAAGCTCTAAGTCTCACAGCCTAAATATTATTACCTAGCTTTCTTCCTTGGAACAGCTTGTTGATTTGAACCACCTGCCTTTGAGTTGGGAGTACAACTCTTTATCCACTGGGCCATCAGAGCTCCCTAGAGGGGTGAAAGGAGCCCCAAAACGGACAACTGGAACCTGACCCTTGGGCCATAGACCAGTGTAGTGTTAGCTTCACAGCTGTTTATGGAGAAGAGAAGTGACTCAGATTTGAGGGTAATAGTGTCAAGGAAAGGCAGAAGAGAAGAGGGAAGAATAATGCTTAGTATAAAATAGTACTCAGAGGTTTGAGGTGATCAGGTGGAGAAGCAGCTCCCTCTTGCTCGTGGACTTCCAGAAAAGGAGAGAAGCTGTTTGAGTCTTGCTGCTTGGGCCGTTAGCTAAATGAGGCATCTCATTCAGCACTAGTGTAAGAACAAAGATAAACAATACATATTGTCTTTTCTTCTTAGAAAGTCTGAGTGCTTTCCTTATTGTCTAACTTCCTTCATTCTGTGACTTAAAACCTTTTTCTCTATTTAAGAGAGTAAATTAAAAACAGAGTAAATTAAATACCACACTTTTCTTTCAAGCCAAGATTTTTTTTTAAATGAAACAAGAGTACATTTATTGAATAAGATCTTGAGCCTTCATTTGAAAACATGCTCCAAAGGAGTATTTAACCACATGAGAAAGTGCTAATAATATAACAGGAAAAGCAGGATATAAAATTTCATGTTTATTGTTACTATTTTCTCATAAAATACAGGGGAAAAGCAATGAATAAAAGTTAATTTCGGTGAAATGATGCATCTGTAGATCAAACTTCTTAACCTGGAGTTTGTTGATGGAAAGTAGAGGTCTTCTATGACTTTGGTTGGGAGAAAAAAAATGTTTTTATTTTAACTTGAACTGAAGCCTCGCAATTCCTAACATTATGAATGTTGGCAATGAATCGATAATATTAGCAGATATTTTCCTACCATGTTGCAATTGTTGCAGGTACATTGAAAACTCATTTTATGTTTATTGCCACTTTGAAATGAAGCTAGTAATTAGAGGGACAGACAGTTTTAATTACTTAATATGTTCATTTACAAAGCACTTATAATACTACATCACATGTTTGATTGTTTCAATATTTTAGTAACTTTTGACATGACTTGCTTTGTATTTATTTATTTATGAACATCCTGAGAAGGAGGTCCTTACTTATTGCCACATTATTAAAGGGGTTCATGATTAAAAAAGACTAATACCAGTTGCAGTCACATTAGCTCCAACTTGTATGTCTGAGTAGATTTCTTGGACCTTTTCTTCTGAGATGCCTCTAGGTAAACTCAGACCTTTTGGTTAACGGCTGAAAACATTAATCTCTTATACTACCCAGGGTCTGAAACCTTCTCCCAGTCTATGGCATTCTTGACCACTGGCGGTTGCAAGTTGATTCTAACTCGAGGCAACTCTATGTGCTGCAGAATAGAATTACTACATAGGATTTTCCTGACTGTGATCTTTATTTTTAAGGATGCTTTTATTGTAAAAAAAAAAAATATATATATAACATGGGA